AAAAAAAAAAAAAAAAAAAAAAGAGCAGACACCACTAGCACCTGGGGAGAGGCTCCATCTTATCAGCACCCCTAGCAGTCGTTCCCGGTGGGATTCGTTCCGTTGGAGACTAGCTTCTGTCAGATCCGACATCCTGGGGCTTCACGTCACGACTCGTCAGACATGCACAAAGGCGGAAACTTTGGGTGATATATCTTTCCACGTTCTACACGAAGATACGTTCTCATTTTGCACATATGGCAAGTGGTGGAGCCAGGCCTCTTATCTGACGGCTGGTGAGTCGCAACAGCCCCACACTGTCCGCTCATCGCGGCTCATCGTGACAGTATTGGTGCTGACACGACATCGAAAAAGTGGGTATATGGGTCTCGCTCCAGTACTGTCCACTGTACAATTTTTCGGACAGTTGGTGGACAGTTGTCAGAGCGAAAAATTGTACATCGGACAGTGGAAAATGCGACATCGCTCCACTTACTGTCCGCTGTCCACCTCTCAAATTTGTGGCTTCACTACCAGACACTGTGATAGCACTACAAGACAGGACGTCCATAGGGTTTTGTCCGCCCAAACTCCAGGTGCACTCTCCAAATTCGGCTCCTCACGGTGAGTCCCTTGAAGGACTTTCCGCTGAACGAATTCAAGTTTTGCAGGCTGGGAGCTGTACATTCACGGACAGTAGATTTTCGACGGGGTTTCTAAAACCTGTCCAAGCCATTTTGCACATGTACAGTGGACAGTAAGTGGAGCGAAGTACAACTGTCCTTTTTTGTACAGTGGACAGTAGTGGAGCGAGACCCTATCTTTCCATGTCCTAGAGGGTTATACATTATAATTCTGCACAAGCCACCCTCACCAACGTTCTTTCTTTTCTTTTCTTTTCGTTTCGTTTTCTTAGCAAAAACTCCAGTAAAACAGGGTGTGAGATCTGTCTTTCCCTATTTGTAGTAGACGTTTGAGAGAGGCTCAGCACTACCTGTCTCTTATACACATCTAGATGTGTATAAGAGACAGTTTTTGTACAGTGGACAGTAGTGGAGCGAGACCCTATCTTTCCATGTCCTAGAGGGTTATACATTATAATTCTGCACAAGCCACCCTCACCAACGTTCTTTCTTTTCTTTTCTTTTCGTTTCGTTTTCTTAGCAAAAACTCCAGTAAAACAGGGTGTGAGATCTGTCTTTCCCTATTTGTAGTAGACGTTTGAGAGAGGCTCAGCACTACAAACCCTCATCATGACTGTATTGGACCTGTAAGACCCCTACCTACATACAAGACAGTACGCACATTCACAAACACGCGCACACACACACACACTTTACAATTTGAATTAGCTGTAACTGTTTCGGTGCCCTTTTTGCCTTCGTGTCGGCGCCATGCGTGCGAGCCTCCCCTCCCCGCTTCCCATGCTGTCCTCGACACTCTCTTCTTCACGCTCACGCTCCTTCTCTCTCTGTAACCGTTTTTCATCCCCCCTTCGCCTTGCGCGCCTTTTCTCTCCTTTTTGATCGTCTGAATCTTGGTTCCATTTCACGCTGTTCTTCACGCTCTTCTTCTTCCCGTTCTGATCGCCGCCCTGAAATACCCTGTCGACCCCCTTTCACTCCCTCTAGCCAAGGAGACGCGTCGTGTAAGAAGGAAATTTCTGATACACGACGATTCTGATTGGCTAAAGTCGGGATCCAAAGGATCGACATGACTTTCGTCATGCAATCCCTGCGCGTTTCCCTACTTCTCCTTGTCTCAATCCTAACCCTTCCTAGTGTCTATCTTCTTTTCCACAACTATAAATTCCGCAAGTGCTCCCGAAAATTTCTCTCCCGACTCATCAGCCCGCTTCCAGGAAGTTGTGGCTAGATGGCATGAAGGAAGGTGCGAGTCGAAAAGTCCCAATGAGCTGGTTGTAGTCTAGACGCTCGGGATGCTGGATCGCCCGACGGACTATGGGATCCGACCAGGGCCGTGTAGAGGCTAATTCGGTGGGGTGACAATCACTATGGTGGATTTGGCACGTGATGGCCGGGATTGTTAGTGCAAGTGAGATGTTCGAGTCGGAAGTGAGTGAGTGCATGGTCTGACACTATGGTGAAATTTTATGGCAGAAGTGCTTTCTTCCCCTTTTTTCCCAAAATTTGTATCTTCGAGTGCGAGTTCTGATTGCTCGGCTTTTTCGCCTGACATTCTGTGATTGCTTTCCACTCGTCCCTCCTTCCTGGCCTGCGTCCATACTCTCTCCCTCTCTCCCCTCCGGTCACGTTATGTCATAATGGATGAATTATGGTAACTTTGCTTCTCTCACTCCGTTATGTGCATGCGGTGAGTCGTGATTAGAGATTTTGTTATAGCATGATTTCAAGGATGATTGGCTGATCGACTGGATGATCTGGTTAAGATCTGTTTTGAGCTTGCACTTCTTGCCATGTGGACTGACGGCCCCAACCCGACCGGGCACCAACTTCCCGTAACCCTGCCACGCCCCTTCCCGTACATCAAGGAAAGCATACGTGTATGCGATTGGGACGTACGAGAAGCCGTCGCCAAGAGCGGAGGGCGTTAGTACTTTCCTCCTGAAACTCAGTGCTCGGGATTCGTCAGTGCGGGTTTTGTTATCATTGATACGCACTTTCCGCCCTATTCGTTATTGTTTCCATTTAACGAACTGATCGTCGTCCCGTGGACGACAGTGGAGCCTCATTGGCCTTACACTCTGCGCAGCGATTGTCGTCGCTTTGAGCGTTACCAAGCCAAGGGTTTCCACTATCGTACACGTGACGAGGACGAGCACAAAGAGAAGGCTACTCGATTGAGGCCCTCCACGTCGGACTCGGAGTTGTGTAACGAGAGCCGACGAGACCTCATCCGAAAACGGGATACCAGGTGTGTACCCGCCCCCTTTCACGCGAAACGAAGAGCGACGGCTCGCTGGGAAGTCCAGCGATACTTTTTAGATTGAATTTCCCATAGCTGCAAGTCCCGCGTGCCCCTTTTTCTTGTTACAGTAGGACCTTCTTCTTGTTACAATAGGACCAACACGAGGGATTTCAGTTCTGTTTGTGTCCCTGCACTCAATTTTCCAAAAATCCTTGGCACACCCCATCTTTGCTGCCTTTCCCCAGGCCCCCTTCCGCAAACCAAAACACTCCGACCAGAAGGCAGCGCAGGGCGTGAGGTTGAGCGTCACACCCATTCTCTCCTCGATACATGATTCACAGAGTACATATAGCTTTCGGGCATACACACATAGCTTGCGAATTATATAATATCACTTACAGGTTACATTCACAAGTTTCCACACGTGATACTGTCTGCACAGATTCACAGAATATCTACACAAAAGACAGGCTGGGGAGCTAGTCACTGGTGGGGTCTAGTGCCTGCAGCTGGGCGCAGTTCCTACTGACATTCGGATAGAACTGTCTGGTGGCTATATATATATGGGGCCTGTAGTTCATTGTCTGGCCCTGACGTCCGAAGTTCCCGTTCGACGAGGTTCGTCCGATTCCGCTTCTATCAGGGCTGGGCAATCTATCAGCCCTGGTGCCTATCACTGCTGTTTGGTCCAAGTTGCCTGCCAGTTGGTAGGGCAATGGTCCTGAGTGCTGGCCACACTGAGGTAGAATAGTGGGATAGGGGGTGCACTAGGAGTATTGACGTGAGGATGGGTTGGGAGGTGGTCTCATATTCCAGGACACCCGTGGCTCACAGTTCCAGGTGACCAGTGTGCACACACTGACTGGCCTCTACAACACCCTGGACTTTCTGAAAAAAAAAAAAGAAAAAAAAAAGGAGGTAGGATAGTAGAGATAGGGAGTGCGCTAGGAGTATTGATGTGAGGATGGATGGGAGCATTGGGAGGTAGCCTCGCTCCCTCAGGACAAGCATGGCTGACCGCTCCAGGGGATCAATGTGTGCCTAGTAACCGGCCTCTACAACACCGGGTCCCTTGGCTTTTTGTGTTAAAAAAAAAAAAAACGTCCAAAAATCCTTGACCTTGACTGTACCCGAGCTCCCTTGCCAGAAATAGCAGGATAAAGCTAACATCTTGAAGAACGACAGTCACAATCAGGACCAGGTGCAGGATAAAGGTGAGATGAAGGTGAGAATCCAGATCAGGGGGAAGGATGAAGACCTGCATCTGAAATATAAGAGGATTATTAAAAAAGAAAAGAAAAAAAAGAGGATATGGAGTACGTTGCAGAAACCCCCGGCGTTTTTTTTTTTTTTTTTTTTAAATTTATTTATTCAAGAATCATCAGGACAGGTGTGTGGGAGAGTGTTTTTTAATTTATTTATTCAAGAATCATCAGGACAGGTGTGTGGGAGAGTGTTGGCCATAGCCTCTGCTGCTACTTGATGAAGGGTGGGGGACGATGAGAAAGTGAGGCACAGCTACTGGCAGGTCTCGGTCTTTGTGTTAGCCAGAGCCCCACTGGCGGCCCCAACCCTATACCCTAACCATTAGGGGCAAGGGGCAACATGAAATCTCCCCTTCACAGAGAGTGGAAACTATGCTTGCAGGGGTCCCCTCTAGATAGTCTTAGGAGTAGGTAGTGGAAGGTAAAAGAAACAGAAGTTGAGAGAAGAATATAGAAAGAAA